GTGCTCTGACTGGGAGTCGAACGGGCAAGCCTTTGGTTCTCAGGCTGGCGCTCAATCTACTGAGCCACACCAGCCAGGGTTCTTAAAAGTTTTTATAATTTGATTGTCTTTCTTTTTTTGACCACTGTAGAGATGAGCCACCAGCAGGCTGAGGAGGGTGATGAGGAAACCTCAACACTGTCTCACTTGGCTGCCGGTCCCTCCCTGGGCCATCCTTTTGCAGTTTTATGGAGGCTTCATCACCTAGGCATGACTGGTTAAATTCTTGGCCATAAATTGGCCATAGGCAGTTGATTCCACCTTCAGCTCCTCTCTCCTTCCCAAAAGGTGGGGGTAAAGAGGGACTGAAAAAGGTCCAACCCTCTAAGCACCTGGTTGGTTCTCCTGACCAGCAGCCCCATCCTTAGGCACTTTCTAAAAGTCATCTCATTCACATAACAGGATGCCCCTATTCCTGTCATCACTTAGGAAGTTTCGGGTGTTGTAGGAGCTCCGTGCTAGAGACCCAGATGAAGACCAAATTTATAGTTCTATTATAAATTACAGTATCAAGGTAGGTTTTGTGAAGATAACTTTTGGCAGATTAAAGAAGTTCCTTTTGTTTCTCCTTGTTTGCTAAGAGTTTTTATTGTGAATAAGTTTTGAACTTCATCAGATTTTACAAAATGGCATCTTCTGAATTTATGGTTCAGAAACATGGTCTTTTTGCATGTACAGATGTGTGTATGGCATGGCCAAACTTAGCTGTCATCATCGTTGTTGATGTTTTTACATAGTTAATGTTGTTTAGATTCTCTCTTGTTGTCACCAGCTCCTTCGCTCACCACTCTTCCATGTGTGTACTGCCTTCTTTTCATATCAGTTCCTTTTTGTTTTTTAAAATGCCTCCTCTACTGTTTTTTTCTTTTTACTGAGGGTCTGTTGGTACTAAATTATCTCCATCTTTATCTGAAAATACTTTTATTTAATGTTCACATGTAAACAATATTTTGGTTGGGTTTTAAATTCTAGGTTGATATAAAATGTTATTCAAATGTGGGAGATAAAACCAAAAGCAGCAGATGAACAATCAAAACCAAGCAAAAGAACTATTGACAGACAACAGTATGGTGGTCACCAGATGCAGAGGGGCTGGGGGAGAATGAAGAGGGTGAAGGGTCAAACACATGTTGACGGGCAGAAACTGGACTTTGGGTGGTGAGCACATAGTGGATAATGTGCAATAGAACTGCACACTTGAAACATGTCATCTTAATACCAGTGTCACCTCAAAAATTTAATAAAAAGAAAAAAGTCTAGGTTGACAGTTTTTTTCTTAACAATTTAGAGATGTTACTTTGGGTCTTCTCATGTTACTCTTGATAAATCCACGAGTATGATCCATGTACATTATCAGTGTGATAGTCACTGCTTTGTAGGGAGTTTGTCCTTCATCACTCTGGATGCTTTTAAGATCTCTTTGTTTTGTTTTCCAAAGTATACCTGTCATATGTGCTTATTTTATTTGAATTTATTTTGGTGAGGATTTATTCAGTATGGTTCCTGAATTTGGAGCATTCGTGTATTTCATTAATTCTGGAAAATTTCCTGCCATTATTATTTTAAATGTTGTTTTACTTCATTTTCTTTTTTTAAGATTTTACTTATTTATTTTCAGAAAGAGGGGAAGGGGATGAGAGAGGGAGAGACACATCAATGTGTGGTTGCCTCTTGCACACCCCCAACTGGGGATCTGGCCCTCAACCCAGGCATGTGCTCTAACTGGGAGTTGAACTGGTGAGCCTTTGGTTTGCAGGCCCGCTCTCAATCCACTGAGCCACACCAGCCAGGGCTACTTCGTTTTCTATATTCTCTCTTTCTGGAATGCTAATTGGAGGCGTATTGAACTGTATTTTCTGTTCTCTTTGCTTTTTAATCATTTAAAAAATACATCTCTGAGTAATGTACTCAGATCTGCCTTCCAGGTTAATTCTTTCTCTAGCAGTCTCTAATTTGCTGTTAGTCTAAATCATTGAGTTTTTAATTTCAGTAAGTAAAATATTTATTTCTAAATATTTTATTTTTGTTATCTTCCCAGTCTGCTTTGTATTTTTGATACTGTCTTAATTCTTTCTCATGTTTCCCATTCAAGTCCTTGATTATTTATATAAATAATTTATAATATTATACCAAACAACTTACATAATAGTTTTTAATCTGGTATTTAAACTATCTGTAGTTCTTGGGAATCGGATCCATTGAATCTCGATCACGGTGGAGTGTTTCTTTTTATATGTTGTAATTTTGGATTTTGAGACCCTCTTTAGCAAAGCATTACCTTTGGGAATTCTCTGTAGTTTGGGTTAAAATAGTCTTTTCAGAGATATTTTTTGGCCTGGGACCACTCTTATTTTTGTGAATTGGCTGGGAGTTCCTGAGTTATTTTATAAAATTCAAGTCTGAAATCCACTTAAGGGCAGCCCCTTTGTTATAAATTCTTAAGAAAGATAATTCCTTTTTATTTTTTAAGATTTTATTTATTTTTAGAGAGGAGAAAGGAAAAAAGGGAGAGAAACATTAATGTGTGGTTGCCTCTCCCACACCCCCTCTACTGAGGACCTGGCCTGCAAGCCAGGCACATGCCCTGGCTGGGAATTGAACCAGCAACCCTTTGGTTTGTGGGCTGGCGCTCAATCCACTGAGCCATACCAGCCAGGGCAGAAAAGACAATTCTTGTTTTGTACCTAGAGCTTAGGACAAGACAGATAGTATTTTGTCGGGATTCTACCTTTTCTCTGAGGGCTGAGGTATAGTTCCTTGTCCCAGCCCCTGCATCTCTGAGGTCTAGGGTCCCATCTCTGAGAAGCCGTTGAAACTCTGTGGCTTTGTTATTAAGATCAGCTTCACTCTGCCTCCCAGAGCTCCTGTACTACAACTTATTTGCTTATTACTACATCTTAGAGTTCTTTCATTTTGGGCTTCTAGGGGCTTACTTTCTTCTGAAGTTGGTTATGCGTTTAAAAGTGTATTTGTTATATTGTCATTTCTAAATTCCAACTCTTTTAAGAAGTTTTTTTTTGGATGGTACTGAAAAATGGTTAAATGCTCAAAGTAAAATAAAGACCAGATTTTCTGGTGGACAGTAAGTTAGTTTTTCCCAGATCAAGGGCCTCCCTAAGACGCACTTTGAGGAAAAGTTATTTCAACAGCCATGGGAGAAAGCCGACGCTGACCATGCTAAACGGCCTGGGACGCTGGGGACGGAGATCCAGACCCAGCTGCTGCTGAATCCCTCTGTGACTTTGGGCAAGTCCTTAGGCCTTTCTGGGTAGGCATTTGCAAACAGAGGGGATGGGGTTAGGTTTTCCCTAGGGTTTCTGTTTCAAATTTCAATGGTTTAGCCTCTTTCTGACTACATGCCTGTGCCAGCAGTCTCACTAAGCTCCTTGGCTCTCCCATGCTCTCCTAGGATGCACTGCAACACACACACACGTGGCTCCTCCTTTCCCTTCACTGCATGGTGACCACACTGACCCTCATACCCACCTCTCTGTGAAGAACTGTGCTCCTCTAACATGCCTGGGTCACAGGTAAGGGGCTTCGGGCTTAGGGAGTGCTCTGGGAAGGTCTTACCTCAGTGGGTCCTGGATGGAAGTGGATTGGCTGCTGGGCTACACTGCTCCTCATGGCTGATGGGGGAGAAGGAAAGGGGTGATGTGTGTGATGGGGTAGGTTGTCCTTTGCAGAGGTGCTCAGTGGCTGGGGGCTCAGGGAAGTAAATGGTACCCACCTGGTACTCATCCAAAAACTGCCTTAAGATTGGTAGTATTTCCTGCTCCTTCCCAAACTCCTGAGAACTGTGTCAGAAATTTACCTCTTACAGTTGGTGCCAAGAGGTCACTGGATTTGTCTCGTGCTGGTAGCAAGGACAGGGTTGTGTTGTCAGATTTTGGAAGCACCAGCAAGTCAGCCTTGCCAGAGCCCCCACATGTGAGAGTCTACCAGGGCTAGAAGCGTCCTTTTAAAATCAGCCCAAGCTGGGGATGGATTAGGGAATGGTGAGCTGCATTTTATTTTGCATACTTCTTTTTTAACTTAAGTTTTTAATTGTGGTAAAAACCCCATACATTGTGTCATTCTAACCATTTTTAAGTGTACCGCTCAGTGGCATTAACTGAATATTCACACTGTTGCACAGCAGATCTCCAGAGCCTTTTCATCTTGCAAAACTAAAAGTCTGTGCCCATTAGCACCAACTCCCCATTTCCTCCTCTCCCCCAGCAACCGTGTGCTGCTCTCTATCTCTGTGGGTGTGACTGCTCGAGGTACTTCACTGAGCATAATGTCTTCAAGGTTCATCCGTGTTGTGGTATGCGACAGAATTTTCTTCCTTTTTATGGGTGAATAACAGCCCATTATATGAATAGAACACACTTCGTTCATCAGTTCATTCATCTGTGGACATTTGGGTTGCTTCCACCTATTGGGTATTGCAAATGATGCTGCTGTAAACATGGGTGTGCACATACCTCCTCAGGACCTGTTTCCAATTCTTTTGGGTACGTACCCAATGGTGGGATTGCTGGATTACATGATAGTTCTACTTTTAATTTTTTGAGAGCCCTCCCTGTTGTTTCCTACAGTGGCTGTACCATTTATATTTGTGCCAACGGCACACAATGTTCCGTATCCTTTTTGCCCATATTGATTTAATGCCAGACCATTTTTGTCTCCTACTCCCCAGCCCCCTGTCTGGGTTCTTAGAGCTGTGTTCGGAGAGTGCCCGATCACTATGCTTATTAGACAGGTGGGAGGCTGAGGCCTGCACAGCAGAGATGGGGACCTGCCCTGGGGCTCAGGCATTTTGGTCCTCCTGGACCTTTTGCGTCACTGTCTGTCCCCCTGGCCTTGTCCCTCCAAGCTCCTGCGCTGTTCGTGGCTGGGGCTCTGCACTCCCTGGGTATCCCTGCCCCATGGTCTGCGTAGTTGTTCCACCAATGCTGTGGTTTCTGCCCAGACAGGTCCAACAGGCGCTCCTCCAAGCGGAGCCTTGGAGGGCACGGCCGGCACCATTACCTCCAACGAGTGGAGCTCTCCTAACTCCCCTGAGGGGAGCAACGTCTCTGGCAGCAGTCAGGTATTGGACAAGCCCATCGACAACGATGCGGAGGGTGTGTGGAGCCCGGACATTGAGCAGAGCTTCCAGGAGGCCCTGGCCATCTACCCACCCTGTGGCCGGCGCAAGATCATTCTGTCAGATGAGGGCAAGATGTACGGTAAGGATGTTGGGGTGGGGTGGCCGGCCCCTGACCTCGTGGTCCAGCTCTGGAAATAGAACCTAGGCAGGGGGTGAGGCGCAGCAACCTTGGGGTCCCCTCCAGGTGATGGAGGGGAAATGATCTCTTGAGGGTTTTTATCTTGTGGATACTGCTTTCTTCTGAGCTGGGTTCCCAAGGGATGGGAGAGCATCTGAGGAGAAACCTTTGCAAGTGTGAGGAGCTGCGGTGGTGGGAGACTTGGGAAAGGAGTAAAATACTGGAGGCCTGGCTTTACAGGCTGCTGGAGCCATTCATTCCCTACTTCGTGAGCCTTCTGTATTCCAGGTACAGAGGGCAGATCTAGTCCCACTCCCACTGGGTGTTTTGGGGGGTTGTTGAGCACACAGAATGGACTGCGGACTGCAAGGCAGACTAGAGCGTTTCAGCAGGGATTCCAACTGAGGGACCTGAAAAGGCTTGCTCTTCTGAGGGGCTCAGAGTGTAGAATATACAAAGACAGAAACACTTCATATCCAGCAGCCGAGTGGGAAGGACCAAGTGGTCTACCTGGGGCCAAATTGACTTTTGGGTGGAAGAAAGGGTATTTGGGAAACTGAAACAGAAACTGAACAGCTGCTGGAAGGCCCAGGTCAGGCTTCCATTCCCAGTGGCAAGTCCTCCAGGACCCCCAGCTTGAAGCACTGGCCTTGGGCAGCAGCTGAGAGAGTCTCTGTAACTGGCAGAAGCCCTTGAGGACAGAGGGCTATGCCCTGACTTCCAACAAGGTAGCTGTAGCCCAGGGGGCTCCATTCCATGTCTCTGCCCAGCCACACCGGAGCCCCTTCCCCAGCACAGATCCTCTGCCAACTGTTTCAAGAGCACTGTGTGAGGAGCCAGTGGGGACCATTTGTCTCCTACAGCTGTCTTAAGAAATGACCACAAAGTTGAGGGACTTAAACAACAGAAACTTATTCTCTCGCAGTTCAGGAAGCCTCGAATCTGAAATCAGGGTGTCCTCAGACGGGTCCCTTCTGAGGGTCTGAGGGAGGATCCGCTCCATGCCTCTCTCCTGGCTTCTAGTGCTTGCCGGCAACCCTTGTGTTCCTTGGCTTGTCCAGTCTCTGACTTGGTGTCACATGGCTGTGCTCTTTCTGTGTCTGACCCCATGTGTCTTCTCATATTCTTGTAAGGATACCAGTCCTTGGACTGAGGGCCCACCCTAATCTTGTATGACCTCACCTTAACTAATTACACTGTAAAAACCCTATTTCCAAATAAGGTCACATTTTGAGGTTCTAGGTAGACAAGAAGTTTGAGGGAGACACTATTCAACATAATTCAACTGACTAAATTCACACCTGGCTCTGGCTGGTGTGGCTCAGTGAATTGAGTGCCGACCTGAAAACCAAGGGGTCACCGATTTGATTCCCAGTCAGGGTACATGCCTGGGTTGTGGGCCAGGTCCCCAGTTGGGGGCCTGTGAGAGGCAGCCGGTTGATGTATATCTCTTCTAAATTGATGTTTCTCTCCCTCTCATTGTCTCTCCCTTCCTTTCTCTCTAAAAATTCATAAATAAAGTGTTTAAATTCACATCTGATTTGTTACTGGCCCAGCAAGTCGTGGAGCCCTTGCAGCCTTTCTGCCACTGCCTTCCTTCCCTATGAGGCCGAAATGAGGTCTTCTCTTTCTTTTGCTTGTTGGGCAAGCAAGCTCCTTTTGGGCTAGGCCCTAGGTCTACTCCTCGATCACCAGTAAGTAAAACTGCTTGCCTCTCTCTCTTAACCAGCCTACTGCTGCAGTTTTGCTCGGTTCCCACAGAGTCTCTCTTACTTTTGTGGGCACCCATGCCCCGGGTCAGCTCCCTGTACCACCCCTGCTCTAATCATTTCCTTTCCTGGTGGTTGCTTCTCACTTTTGGTCCTATGGAAGATTCGTGGAAGAAATGACTGATATGTATGGAGCACCTGTTAGGTGCCCGGTGTGGGATTGGGAGCTTCACGTAGGTCACCCCCGTGGAGCTGGTGAGGGTCGGAGGCTTTTGGACCGGCAGCTCGTCCTGCTACTTTGGTGGAGAGTAGGATGGTGTTGATCATGCACTGAGGTGAAAGGGGCAAGGAGTGTGCAGGGAGGGCTAATAGTTTATCTGGAGAGCTGTCAGGGCCCCTGGTTGGAGAGCCATAGGGTGTCCAGGATACTGCAGAGAGAGAGCAGAGGTTGCTGCAGATACTGGGCAGGCCCACGGAGATGGCAGAATGTGGCAGGATCAGCAGACGTTTATGGGAGTGCCGTGGTGCACCAGGCTCTGGGCGCCGAGCTGTTTCTTTTTGTGTGTATGGCAAAATATACGTAACGTTTATCTTTTTAAGCATTAGCATGCAGCTCAGTGGCACAAAGTACATTTACATTGTTGTGCAACCAGCACCACCATCCACCTCCAGAACTTTTTTATCCTCTCCAGTGGAACTTGTGTATCCATTACATAGCAACTCCTCGTGCAGCCCTTCCCCAGCCCCCAGCAACACCACACCACTCATATCAGAGGTACCTCATGTAGGAGGAGTCAGACAGTGTTTATCTTTTTTGTTTCTGGATTACTTCACTTAGAATAGTGTCCTTGTGGTTTACCCATGTTGTGTCCTGTGTCAGAATTTCCCTCCTTTTTAAGACTGAGTAACATTCCGTTGTGTGGCTAGAGCACATCGTGTTTATTCATTCAGCTATTGGTGGACATCAGGGTGGATCTCAGTTTTATGTAGTTTTATGGGTACATATTCCTACTCACTTTACCTGTAAAGGAATTGGGTTAAGAGACTTTACCTTCTGTCCCCTGCTGATTGTGACTGAGCCAGTGTTTGGTGAATCCAAGCCTGCAGACTTTTGACAGGCCTTGGGTTAGAGTTGTTCAGCAGGAGGAGAGCTGTTGAGTTGGGGGCAGGGTGTGGATTGGGATGAAAATGGTGTTTAGCAAACTGTCCTGGCCCTGTCGGTGTCCACTGTGGAGACAGACAAGGAGAGGCACAGAGTGAGGGCATGGCTCAGAAGAGGACCTGGGAGGAGGAGAGGCTGAGGCTGAGGAGCCTCTTAATTATACTAAGACAGGAGCACTCAGTGGCCTCTGACATCCATGATCTCTTTAATATTTTTTATCTTTTTGAGGGAGGGAGAGAGGAATTACTGCATGCAGAGGCAGAGAGGAGCTCAGGCCAAGAGTTTCTCCTGTAGTCTCTTCGGTGGTGAGCAGGAGAGCTGGGACTAGAACCCAGTTCTCCTGCCCCTCACACAGTGCTCTCCGCTGTACACAGTGCTGTACAAAGCCTCCCACCTGCTCCTCTCTCCTCCCCTGCCTGGCCTCCTGCTTAGCCTCAGCCCCAGGTGGGGCAGGCTCTGGGCAGGCGCTGGCAGCTGCTAGGCAGTGTTTGGTGCCTCACCCAGCCCCCACGGCACCTGTCCACCGTGAGTACAGATCTTGCTGGGGTTCAGACCCTGGCTTATCCTCATCTCCTCTTACCAGGCGTGGGGCCTGGGCCAAGGCACGGACTGAGCAGGGAGTTAATGGAGGGGCTCTCAGCAGGACCTCTGGTCCAGCTCGAAGGTATATATATATCTCTGAGCTCAGCCTCAGTGTGTGGGATGGACCCCAGGGAGGCGGAGGACAGGGACAAGCTGCCAAGCTGACTCAGGCATCATCTCACTAAGGCTGCTGTCCTCCGTCTTTTCTCATCTTCCTTTGGAGACCCTGCCTCCTGTGCCAGAGTCCCCCAGAACCCTGGTCTTACTCTCCCCCACTCCCACATCCAGAGGCCATCAGGTGTTTTCCAGGTGGGCCAGCCTGGTGGAGCATGGGGTGGGAGCTGAGAATAAGCAGTCAGGAAGCAGATGTGGGTGGGAGGAAGAATGCACTGGCTCTAGGGTGCCCTGAGGAGGGTCTCGACCCGCAGACTCTGTGGACATCAGTAGGCCTGCCCCCAGCCCTGGTCTGGCGCACCCAGAGAGAGCAGTATGCTGACCAGGGCCAGGCAGACATGCAGATGACACGCAGAGCCTCGGGACAGATTAGCACCTGTTATTTCTGAGCCCCACCTCCCACACTGTGGACTGGCTCCTGGGCCAGGGCTGTGAGCCCTCTCCTGCTCACGGCTGCTTTCATTTTTGCCCCGTCACTCTGTGACCCTTGCCCTGACACTGACATGCTGTTCATTCTGGCTTCCTTTAGCCAGGCCTGGGCTCTGGCCCCATGGGCAGGTATAGGGAGGTGAGTGTGGTGCAACTCCTCTCCTCCATCTGCCCTCACACTCTGCCTTTCCCTCTCCTGACAGCTCTGCCCTGGCCCTGCTGTCTTGCTTTCTCCCTACTTCTTGCAAGAGGCTGTGGCTGGTTCTGTCTTTCTGTGTGCATGTAGCCAGTAAAGCAAAGGGCTGGGTTATCTTGCAAGTTTTTTGGGAGGCAGTAGGGCTTGGGCTGGTAGAGGAGGGAAGTGTGTGCTCAGGCAAGGGAAGAGAATGCCATTGACCCAGAGGTGGGACTTTGTGTGGTGACTTTGGGAGAGCTGGGCAAGGCACTGTGATAGAGCAGGGTTAAGGGATCCTCATTTTGTATGTGTCAAAGCTAATGAGAGGCAGAGCAGGGACTGGACTCAGGTTGGAGATCTTGTTACTAAGGTGATGGGACACAAGTCAGGGAGCCTCATCTGAGCTTCTCCCATCACCTCGTTCTAGTCCTTGGATCCTTCGCTGCCCTTTGCTCTGTCACCCTGCGGTTTTCAGCTCCTCCGCGCTCTCCTTTCCAGGCTAGACCCAGACTTCGTGCTTCTGGGGCCTGCGATGTGAGCTGAGGTTCAGATCCACTGCCCCAGTAGCCACGGTGACCCTGGGCAAGCTGTTTAACCTTTCTCAGCATCAGCTTCCTCAGTTGTGAAACGAGATGATAATGGTACTGCCGTTTTGGGGAGGGAGCATATTTATGTATTTATTTTACTGTGGGGAAATATACATTACATAAATTTTACCATTTTAACCATT